AGACTATTTAGAACATTTTCAGACAAAATACAACATGTAAACAATTTGCAACATTTGCAGACAAATTACAACATTTTCAGACAATTTATTACATTTTCAAACTTTACAACATTTTTAAACAACTTGCAACATTTCAGATAATTTAAATCACTTTCAGACAACAGAAAATGTTTGCAACAATAGATTTAGACAATCTGCAACAGTTTCAGACCAGTTACAAAATGTTTATACAACTCTCTCTCTTATTTCTATACCTTGTCGGAAGTATAACTTTAATAAAAAAAAATAGTCCTAATATAGGAAAATTTAGATCTTATATAATGGTAAAAACTAAAATAAGTTTAAAAGTAGTGGTCAACTATTTCAGGTTAAGAACACTTTATGATTATAAAATTAAGACAATATAGACTGATGGTTAACTTTCTAGAACCTGCTCATTGCTCCATCCGTTCTATGGCGGAAACAGTGTTACCCAATCGGATACCTTCAAGTTTTACCAGATGTTAATTTATTACCATGGATTCTAAAAATCAAGAACAAAAGAAACCACCGCACACAATCGATCAATTATTTATCATGTATTCGAAGTTCCAAAACATTCGACAAGATATCGACGGAAAAACGATAACTCTGAGGCAAATCGACAAATGGTTTCGACAGGCGAAACTTTTCGACAAAACCAAACCGAATCAATTGACGACGACCGACACGGGGGTGCAGTTCTTCAAATTCAAGAAAAAGCATTGACTTTGGACGAATTCAGAAATTTCTGGAAGATTTATGCGAAACGAAAGAAATCGATTGGAAGAAGTAAAAGATAAATTGCTGTTCAGTGGTGTACCGGGTAAAGCTGCAGGGGCAACGGATTGAAAGTACTATTTAAATTAAATATGTAATAAAAACAATTAATATATTGTATTTTTATAGATTATGTTTTTAATGAGAAATTTATGTTTTAGCCAGAAAATCCGATTTACCAATGCCGAGTTTACTCTACGTAACCAGTTAGTCTGAATCGTTTGTCACGAAGTGGAATAAGTATGTGTGTGAATCGAAAAGTTTTTCAGACAACTTACAACATTTTTAGACAATCTACAGCAATTTTGTACAACTTACAATATTTTTAACGTTTAACACTTTGAGACACTTGACAAAATTTTCAGATAAATCACAACAATTCTAGACAATCTACAACATTTTTGGACACCTCACAACATATTCAGATAACTTACAACATTTCTAGACAACTTACAGCATTTCTATACAAGTCACAATAATTCTAGACAAATCGCAACAATTCTAGACAATCTACAAAATTTCTAAACAACTCACAAAATATCTATAGAACTTACAACATTTTCAGACACTCTACAAAAACATTTATACTCTACTTACAACATTTTGAGACCAGTTACAACATTTTTTGACAACTTGACAACATTTTCAGACACCCTACAACATTTTCAGACACTCTAAAACATTTCTAAACAACTTACAACATTTTTACCTAACTTACACACATTTTTAGACACTCTGCAACATTTTCAGACCAGTTGGAATATTTTCAGACCTTGACAACATTTTTTAACCAACTTACGACATTTTTAACCAATGTTCAACATTTTTAGCCAACTTTTAGCAATATTTTTAGACAGTTACAATATTTTCAGGCCACTACAACATTTTCACAGAATTTACACCATTTTCAAACCAGTAATAACAATTTCAGATCAGACACAACATTTCCAAACTATTTACAACAATTTCATACTATTTAATGAATTTTCAAAAAACTTACAACACTTTCAAACATCCTACAACATGTATAAATACTTTATAATGGTTTCAGACTAGTTACAAGATTTCTAGATAACTTGCAATATTTCTAGACAACTTGCCGCATTTTAACTAACTTACATTTTCGGATTAATAAAATTTTTAGATAAGTTACAACATTTTCAGACTATAGATAACTTACGACATTTTCAGACACTCTACAACATTTTCAGACACTCTACAACATTTTCAGACACTCTACAACATTTTCAGACACTCTACAACATTTCTAGACAACTTACAACAGTTTTTACACAATTTACAACAATTTCAGAGCAGTTACAACATTTTTCAGACACTTAACAACTTTTTAGACACTTGACAAACATTTTCAAACACTTACAACATTTTCAGACACTTGACAATATTTCCAGACACCTTACAACAACATTTTCAGACAACTTACAGCATTTTCAAACACTCTACAACAGTTTCAGACTAATTACAACACTTTCAGACAAATTACAACATTTTCAGACACTCAACAACATTTTTAGCCAACTTACAACATTCTCTAGAGAACTTACAACACTTTCAGACCTGTAACAACTTTTTAAAACAATTTACAACACTTCTAAAATATTTTGAAACACCCTACAACATTTTCAGACCCTCTGAAACATTTCTAGACAACTTACAACATTTTACCCAACTTACAACATTTTTAGACACTCTACAACATTTTCAGACCAGTAGCAACAATTTCAGAATAGTTACAACACTTTCAGACAAATTACAACATTTTCAGACCAATTACAACATTTTTAGATTTTGTTGTTTAGATTTACAATCTATAACAACAATTCTAGACAACTTATAATACTTTCAGATAACCTGCAACATTTTTAGACACTTGACGACATTTTCAGATCAGTTACAACATTTTTAGACATATTACAACCCTTTTGAGATAATTTACAACAATTTCAGACAAGTCAGAATACTTTCAGATAACTTTCAAACTATTCTCGACAACTTGCAATTATTCTAGACAACTTGCAATATTTTCAGACAACTTACAACACTTTCAGACACTCTACAATATTTTCAGAGAACTTACAACACATTTTCAGAAACTCTACAATATTTCTAGACCAGTTACAACATTTTCAGACAATTAACAACATTTTTAGACACTTGACTACATTTGAAAACACTTGACAACATTTGCAAACTCTTGACAACATTTGCAAACACTTGACAACATTCTCAGACACCCTACAACATTTTCAAACACCCTACAATATTTTCAGGCGCTCTACAATATTTTCAAACTAAATACAATATTTTCAGAACACTTGACAACATTCCAGGCACTCGACAACATTTTCAGCGGACTTACAACATTTTCAGACACTCCAAAACGTTTCTAGACAACTTACAACACTTTCAGACACTTGACAACAATAATTCTAGACAACTTATAACACTTTAAGACACTCTAAAACATTTTCAAACACTTGACAAACATTTTCAGACCAGTTACAACACTCACAAACACTTGACAACATTTCCAGACACCCTACAACATTTTCAGACACTTGACAACATTTCTAGACAACTTACAACATTTTCAGACCAGTTATTTATAACATTTTCAGACACTCTGAAACATTTCTAAACAACTTACAACATTTTAAGAGCAGTAACAACAGTTTCAGTCCAATAACGATAGATTCAGGCAATCCACAACATTTCTAACCAGCTTACAACATTTTCAAACACTTGACAATATTTTGAACTAACTTACAACATTTTCAGACATCCTACAGCATTTTCAGACACCCCACAAGATTTTCAGACAATGATAACACTTTCAAACATTTTTACCCTACCCTACAACATTTTTCTTTAAATAATAAAAATAAAACATTTTCAGACACCTGACAACATTTTCAAACACCTGACAACATTTTCAGACACTTGACAACATTTTCAAAAAATCTACAACAACAATTTTAGACAACTTATAACGCTTTAAGACAACTTACAACATTTTTAGACCAGTTACAACATTTTCAGATACTTGACAACATTTTCAGATCAGTTACAACATTCTCAGACACTTGACAACATTTCCACACTCTTGACAACATTTTTATACACTTGACAACATTTCCAGACACTCTAAGACCTTTGTAGACACTTGAGAACATTTTAAGACACTCTAAAACATTTCTAGACAACTTAAAACATTTTTGGACACTCTACAACATTTTCAAATCAGTTACAATATTTTCAGACACAACATATGTATATTCTTTTGACTGGCAATAAATCTATGCAAATAAAAAAAAAATTTAAAAAAAATAAAAAACTTACAACATTTTCAGACATATTACAACCATTTTCAGATAAATTACAATAATTTCAGATAAGTCATAATACTTTTAGATAACTTTCAACAATTCTGGACAACTTGAAAGAATTCTAGACAACTTACAACACTTTCAGATGACTTACAATACTTTCAGACAACTTACAACACTTTCAGACACCTGACAACATTTTCAAACCAGTTACAACATTTTCAGACACTTCACAACATTTTCAGACAACTTAAAACACTTTCAGATAACTTACAACACTTTCAGACAATTTACAACACTTTCAGACACTTCACAACAATAATTCTAGACAACTTATAACACTTTCAGACAACTTACAACACTTTAAGACACTCTACAACACTTTCAGATACCCTACAACATTCTCAAACACTTGACAACATTTTCAAACTTTTGACAACATTTTCAGACACTCCACAACATTTTCAGACACTCTATAACATTTTCAGACACTTGACAAACATTTGACTTTCAAACATTTGACAACATCTTTAGACTAAGACAGAGACACTCTAAAACATTTCTAGACAACTTACAACAGTTTTACACACCCTACAACATTTCCAGACACCTTACAACATTTGTAGACACTCGACAACATTTTTAGACACTCTAAAATACTTTGAAACAATTTACAACTTTAAAATTTACATTAAAACTTTAGAAATCATATGATGTCTTTAAACATAGCTTCAACAATAAAAATACAAAAAATTATCATAAATCAAGTCTTTATTTACAAACATTATATAAATATATATATATATATATATATATATATATATATATATATAACCACATCACTTAACATCAGTTTTAATCAAAATCACTTCCCAAATCCGAAAAATCACCACCATCATCACCACCATCCGAGTCACCAAAATCCAAACTATCATCCTCACCATCGTCCACTTTCAAAGCATCCAACTTAGCAATCAGCTCCTCCTTATTCGGCTTCTCACCCGTGGCATCCTCTGCATCATCCTTGTTCTTCTTATTCGAGTTCATGTACCTCAGAAAGGTCCTCCTCTTCCTCTCCGACAAAGTCTTCAGAGTCTGCCTCATCTCCGCATCCATTCTCTGCTGCTCCTCAGCAGTTGCCACTTTCGGAACCAACTCCTCGGCTTTGGAGCACTTGGGGCACACTTTCAGTTTCTGGGAACAGGGGATACACATGATATGATAAGCTTGCTTTATCGTCTTCTGTGAACACTTTGTGCAAGTCTTCGGCTGGGTCAGAGGTTTGTATTTCTTGTATTTGATTTTCCATTCGATGACGTCTTTGCAGTGTTTGCACACTTGACTGATGTGCAAGGAGTTTATGAATTTTGTTGTGTGCGATGTGTCGTGGAGGTTGTTCTTGAAGGCTGTTTTGTTCTGGTGCTTCTGGGGCCTGCTGCGAGATGTGTCTCCTCTTCTGGTACTCATTTTTTAACTGAGGGGATAAAGCTTACGTAATAAATGTGAAATATATGTGTTATAATTAGTGATGTGCCAAGTGGAATCAAGTGATTCGAATCATTCGAATGATAAATAATATGTATGAACACAAATTTTCACAAATATAAAAAAAATAGTTTAATTTAATTCAGTATTATAATATAAAACTAGTGGTGTATGGCATCGTGCCTTAAGGCAAATTGCTGGAACTTTTGAAATTTTTTTAACTTCCTATAGGGTAAGTAATAGTAATGGTCCGAAAATCGAAAATGAAAATTATTGCATTTCTCGACGTTTTGAAGGTTTCTGAATATTTTATTGGCATACCTCAGAAACTAAATGGATGTGTGCGTGTGTACGTGGTCTGTTCAAAAAGTACCCGGAATTTTCATATATAAATATAAAATATTTATTTATTCGTCTACATTAATGTGGTCCCCTTCAAAGTAGTCCCCCCCAGATATAATACACTTATGCCAGCGTTTTTTCCAATTTTCGAAGCACCCTTGATATTCACTTTTTGATATGTCCTTGAGCACTCTCAGCGATTTTCTTCAATCGAGGAAAACCGCCGTCCTTTCATGGGTCTCTTCAACTTTGGGAATAGGAAAAAGTCACACGGAGCCATATCTGGTGAATTTTTGCACTTTGCAACACTTTATTTCATTTTTTACGCAAAATTTAATACAAATTCTTTGACTTTTCAATTCTTCCATTGTAAAAATCGCCGAGCTCAGAAAAACACGTCGAACCTTAGCGACTACCACAGACAAAGTAAACAGTGAATATAGCTGAAAATTTCATCATACTTTAGGGGCATGTATACCAACACAATAAAAAAAAAATTTTGACAATCAGACACTCCAGACCCGCGAAATTTAATTATTAGTAATTCCGGGTACTTTTTGAACAGACCACGTATGTGTGGATACAATTTTTCGTCCCCCTTTTCGGGCGCACGGATAAACCGATTTGAATGGTTTAAAAAACATTCGATTCCTATTAATAGGAAGACGTGCTGATTAGTTTTTGGCAAAGGCAGGTCCAGCCGTTACAGAGATATGGAACAAAGAGTGCAGAAAATAGAAATCGAGCTTTTGAGAGAACGGATCATCCGATTTGTATGATCTAAAAAACATTCAGTTCGTAATGACGGGGAAAAGTGGTTATTAGTATTTGGCAAAGGTAGGCTTAGCGGTTTCGGAGATACAGAGCTAAATGTTAAAAAAATGGCTGTTTTTGAGAGAACTAAGGGTCCGATTTGAACGGTTCAAATAACTTTCTGCTTGTTTCAACAAAATAATTGCTTTTGGGAAAAATATTTGTATCTAATTTTTTTTTCAAAAAATTTTTTTGAAATTTTGGATTAAAAATTCAAAAAATCATCCAGACTAAGCACAGCCTAAGCGCCACTCTGGTACAAATGTTTACCCAAGTGCGTTTAGACTGTGCGTATGTAATGGAGCACTTTTCCAATTTTGTGATAACTATTGAAAAATGTGAAAATGCAGCCAAGCTAAGCACAGTATAAGTGAAAATGTCGCACAGAATTATTTGCAAATGCGTTTAGACTGTGACTATACGGGAGCACTTTTTCAATTTTGTGTAAATTAGGCAACTATTTTTTTTTTGAAATTGAATTCGAAATGAAATGACGATTGTTAATGTTCTGGAGATAAATTGATTTATGATTTATATTTGATTTGCTCAGATATAATAAGATAGTAAAAATAATGAAAGTTACAGTATTTGTAATAAAATATTTGAAAACGTTTAAAATTTCTCGAATATTTCATTACGGTACGGGAAGTTCCAGCAATTTGCCTTAAGGCACGATGCCATACACCACTAGTTTCTGATTTGAATCATTCGAATCAGGAAGTTTTCGAGTCGGCACATCACTAGTAATAATATATTGTAAGTAGAAATATTACAAATACTTACACATAAGCTTTAATAAAACAAGCGACAATCACTACACATGCTTTTTAGTTTTGTAAATAAATAAATGCAAGCTGAGGGGTTAAATGATAAGCGATTTGCATCGAGAAATGACTCAATAAACCATTCAAGTGCATTTTGGTGAATTAATAATTATGTATCAAGTATTTGTACATTTTATGCGGATCCTTAATTCTTAAAACCTTTTATTGCAATTCGTAACCATTACAAGGCTTTGTAAAGCGTTAAGATATGAAGATTGTTTTTTAATATATATTAAACAGAGTATTGAAAACTTTGTTATATTTATTCTGGTATATCTTATATATAAAATTCTTCTGTACGGGTGTATGATTTGATTCTTCTCCCAAACGGTTATTCGGATTTTGATAAATCTTTCTGGAGTTTGTTAAGGAAATTTTTTAGGATGTAAATGTTTATAAAAATAAAGTAATATGTATAAATATATGGCAAAAACAAAAACATTTGAAATGTCATTTGCTAAAAATGTCAATTCACTTGAAATTCGAATTTAAGTGAAATTATGAGCCTGTATAATATTAGAATATAATATATGTACAAGAAACATGTAATGTCTACATTATTATTGCCGAAAAGCAGCTGAGATGTGACAGAAATTAAAATAATACAAAATACAGTCAACAGTATATGTTTGGCATATGAAATTATATAATTCAGTTTAATAAATAACACAACAAGTCCAAAATTATATATACATTATTTTTTTAAACTTATGCATGCCGCATTTTGGTTTACTTTACTAAAGTATTCAACAATGCAAAAAATATTTCTACTTATTAAAAAAAATGATTTAGAATTTTGTTTCATGTGTCAAAAATTCATTTGTTTAGCATTGGATATAGAATATTTATTTAGTTGATCTTAGATTGAATAGTGCTCATATGAACTAGATTTTACAAAATAATTCAACCAAGATTTGAACATAAACAATAATGTTTATTAAATTATTAGTAAGAAAAATGTACTTCAAAAATTATAATTGCCAAAGAGCAACTAATATATTGTTTGAGACTAAATTATTCAAGCAATTATGTCGTGTGCCAAAATCAAGTGTGACATTGTTCTTTTACCGCAGACACTATATTTTTTCTGAATTTCTTATACAGCTTATGCTAAGACCATAAATGAATCACAAAGGCAAGACATCGACTAGGATATTAAAAAGTACAGGATAGGATATTAAAAAATTTGGCACTTCTGAATCATAGACGTGTGTACAGGACAACGTCTGTTGGGTCATCTAGTATATTATAAATTTCCTATCACTTAATTTGGAGTTCATAAGCATCATACAAATCTTTGTAAAGCGAACAATTGTAAAAGATCTGAAACATGATTTAGAATATTTTACAAACAAAGTACATATTTGTAAATGTAAACTTTTGTCGATAACACAATGTGCATAATAGTTTTAGATATTTGTTCCTGAACAATTGTAACAAAAATTGATACAAATTTGGAGACTTTATACATGCCTTATAAAGATGGCTTTAAATACATCTTGGTACATATAGCCTAAATATCCTCAAATATATATACATAAAAAAGCAAAAAAATATTAAAAACTACTTCAAGTGTAAAATACGCACTAATAATACATTTTTCATACACTTAAATAATTATACATAATGAAATGAATAAACATTATGAAATACACATGCAAATGACTAACACTACATATTAATTGTTTCATTCAATGCTAGTAATTATTGACTTACCGGTATGTTTAGATATTTATGAAATTCAACTATGCACACACACGAGTATTATAATAAATTATATCATTATACTATTATAAATTTATATAAATTCAACAATAAATAACTAAATTTGCAAGTGTGAGGTTATGGTATCACATCACATGTGTCTCTACTCATTTGACAGATCAACATGAACACCAATATAACGAAATTTGACAAAAAAAATATTACAAAAATATAAATAATAATGTAAATATATTAATAATATTTTGAAATTTGTTGTTTATTAAAGCTAAACTTTGATATTTATTTATAAATTTACAAATTAATTAATGTTATTATTTTTTTTAAATATGTTTTTATATTGTCTACGTTGCAAACTTGTTAACCGCCATTTTATTTTAAAATGTCGAATCAAATTTGTTGTTTTAAAAACTGTTGGTTTATTAATTAATTAATTTGATGTAAAAGTAAAGTAAAACGTATAAAAATAGTGCTGGTTTATAAGTTATAAGTCTATGTTATAAGTTATTATCTATTATTTATATATTTGTATTAATTATAATATATTTGTATTAATTATAATATATTTGTATTAATTATAAATACAAACTGAAACTAGAAGCAGCTTGGTGGTGTTTGTCAAGGAATATCAAGTGAGTTCTTTAAAACAAATTTTAACACTATATTTTAAATATTGTTTCAATTGTTGTTTTTTAAAGCGTCTATATATATATTAATCTAAATTTACAAATTAATTAATATTATTATTTTATTAATAAATGTTTTTATATTATCAACGTTGCAAACTTGTTAACCGCCATTTTATTTTAAAATGTCAAATTAAACTTGCTCCAAAAACTGTTAGTTTATTAATTAAATAATTTGATGTAAAAGTAAAGTAAAACGTATAAAAATAGTGCTGGTTTATAAGTTATAAGTCTATGTTATAAGTTATTATCTATTATTAGTTTTAATTATAAATACAAACTGAAAAAACTAGGAACAGCTTGGTGGTGTTTGACGAGGAAAATCAAGTGTTGGTGAGTTCTTTAAAACTTTTTTTTTAACACTTTATTACAAGAAAACGGTCCGACCAATCTTACAGCACGATTCTCATCTTTCGACCGGTTTTTGAACTTTCAAAATCGATTCAGATTGCGGGCTAAAACGTGGACGATTTTTTTCACTTTTTTGATATTTACAAAGAAACAGCTTGGGTGATCGTGGCGCAAAATTGATAAACGCTAGTCCTCATCGAGATGCATCGAATGGCTTTTAAATTTTTGAAATCGGTCTGGTCGTTTTTGGAGAAAACGTCGATTTATGGCAAAAAATCTGTTCACATACACACACACACACTTTTTCTTTGAATTTGGTCTCATTCGATTCAGAATGGCTTGAAACGTCGAGAAAACATAAAATTAGCGAATCGGATTTTTAGGCAAAAACAATTCTCCTTTGAGAAGTTAAAACAAACGATTCAGAATGACTTGGAAAAAGTTAAAAAACACCTGTTGTTATTTATATATATGTATATAACCTTACTATAAGTATAACTATAATATAAATTTAATTATTTCATATCACTTCATAATACTCTTTGATAATACTTCATATAAATCTCTAAAAAACTAATAATAATACATAACTATCTATTATCATTGCCATCTGAACTGAGTGGCCCTCACTCTATCAAGTTTCCTCTCCGGGTGCTCCGGAAGTTGAAAAACAGCCACAGCAGCGTTCATTCTAGGGAACCTCATAGGGGGCACATGCTGCCACTTAGTAGACCTCGGATTGTAAGCAAATACCGTATTTTGTATCTGCTTATCTTTTGTTATGCCTCCTATTACGTAAATACGATTTCTGTAGGCTACAGCTCGAGAATTGTTACTCGACACCAATGGCATTGGCTGGAGTTGGCTCCAACGGTCGTTTAATGTATCATATCTGAGAGATACAGAAAAGAAACTGTTATGATGATAATGTATTAGCTGTTTTGGGGATTTGTTTACAGTACCTTTCGACAGTGCCTGAATTTTCAGTTTGTTGTATTCTGGATGAATTTCCACCGAATATGTATATGAATTCATCGAGCACAGCTGATGAGAACATGGCACGACTATCAGGCATACTGGAGACGTAACACCATTTGTTCAACTCTGGACTGTACATTTCAACGGTCTGGAGTATGTCATTGTCGTCTTCATTTGATTCTTTCTGGACTGAAATAATAAAACAATTAGATAAGAGTTCTTAAGAAAAAATTAAATATAAGATATTTATAATTACCTCCACCGAAGGCATAAAGGGCTCCGTTTACAGAACACAATGCATGTGAGGTCCTTTTCTGCAGCATTGGAGCCACCGTGATCCATTTTCCTTGTGTTTCAGATTTTTGCATATAAAACTACAGTAGAAGACATTTGCATATAAAACTACAGTAGAAGGCATTTGCATATAAAACTACAGTAGAAGACATTTGCATATAAAACTACAGTAGAAGACATTGTAAATGCATATAGATGCAACAAAAAAGCAATATTTTTTATGAAATAAATTTTATTTTAATATTTTTGCTTACTTTAAAAACTACAGATAATTATAAAAAGTATTATTATGCCCAGCCCAGAAAATTTCATGAAATGTTTTGTTAATATTTATTTATGTTTATTTAATAAATAACTAGTGGTGTATGGTGTATGGCATCCTTAAGGCAAATTGCTGAAACTTTCCGTCCCAAAAAATATTTTGTTAATTTGAAAAAAACTGATTTTTAAAAAATTTGAAATTTTTGAAGAAAAATGCATTTTTTTATATTATGAAATATTTTGGAAACGGATAAACATTGATACAGGAACCATAGAAATTTAGGCAAAAACGCATTCTTATTATTAATTTCCCGTAGGGTAAGTTATTGTAATCGTCTAAAAATCGAAATTGAAAATTTTTACATTACTCGACGTTTTGAAGGTTTCTGAACATTTTGGCATATCTCAGAAAAAATAGATGTGTGTGTGTGTGTATGTATGTATTATGGATAAAATTTTCGTCCACGTTTTCGGGCGCATGGATCAACCGATTTGAATGGTTCAAAAAACATTCGATCCCTATTGATAGGGATATGTGATGATTAGTTTTTGGCAAAGGCAGGTGCACCCATTTCGAAGATACAGAGCTAAATGTGCAAAAAATGGCAGTTTTTGAGAGAACTAATCGTCCGATTTAAATGATTCAAAAAACTTTCTGCTTGTTATAACAAAATAATTATTTTGAAAACAAAATTGTTTGTTTCAAAATTTTTTCTTTCTTTTTTTTTAATTTTTGTATATCGAAAATAGTTCAGATTTTATTTTTAATTCTGACTAAAATTCTAATATACTTTGAACAAATAATTTCAACTTTGCAATTCAGTTTATTTAATTCTTATAAATATTAGAAAATGTTACAATATTAATAATAATTTATTTGAAAACTTTCAATATTCCTCGATCTTTTCATTACGATACGGGAAGTTCCAGCAATTTGCCTTAAGGCACGATGCCATACACCCCACTAGTTAAAATCTCTATAAAATATCTAATAATTTGATGTGCATATGTACAATGAACATTTTTGACCGCCAAATGGCATTTCCTTTTACTTTTTTCATTTCGTCTCCGAAACCGCTCGACCTGCCTTCCCAAAATTTTACGAGTATTTTATTTTGTCAATACAAATAAAAGGTTTTGAATTATTGAAATTTGATATCCGTAATTTATCTCAAAAAATGAATTACTATTTAACTTCCCGTAGGGTAAGTTATAGTAATCGCAAAAAAATCGAAAATGAAAATTTTTATATATCTTTACGTTTCAGAGGTTTCTGAACATTTTGGCATACCTTAGAAAAAATGGATGTATGTGTGTGTGTGTATGTGTGTGTGTGTGTGTATGTATGTATGTATGTACGTGTGTGTATGTATGTGCGGATACAAATTTTCGTCGACGATTTCGGGAACACGGGTCAACCGATTTGAATAATTCAAAAAACATTCGATTCGTATTGATAAGGAGACGTGCTGATTAGTTTTTGGCGAAGGCAGGTCTAGCCGTTCCGAAGATACGGGGCAAAAAGTGCCGAAAACGGTAACTCAGTTTTTGAGAGAACGGTGCGTCTGATTTGAATAATTCAAAAAACATTTCACTTGTATTGACAAGATGAAAAATCGATAAGATTTTCATGAAGGTAGGTCTAGCGGTTTCGGAGATATGGAGGGAAAAGTAAAAAAATGAGCCATTTGGCGGTCAAAAATGATCATTAGACATATGCTCATCAAATTATCAGATATTTTATAGAGATTTTAACAATAAGTATACAATTTGTTAACATTCCTATGGGTTCCGTACCAATGCTTATGCGTTAGACAGCGACGCGGCGCTTACGCGCTTTATATTTTGTCCCTATGCAGTTAAAGCAGTACGATTGCTTTGAAAAGAAAGTTCAGATCTTCCACAATATGTCAAAATAAAAAAAAATTTTTTTCAAAAAAAAAACAAAAAAAAAAAAATTAAATTTTTTTTTTTTTTTTAAAAAAAATTTTCAAAAAAAAGTAATTTTTTGTCCAATTTATAGTTTCTCAAAAATCTTATTTTTTCAAAGTAATTTTTTTTTTCAAAAATGTTAATCGTTTTTAAAAAAATAATAATTTTTGGTACGGGAAGTTCCAGCAATTTGCCTTAAGGCACGATGCCTTAATTGCCTTAAGACAGAATTCCACTTACAGCTAGTTTTAGCTCATTTTGCACCGTATCTTCGAAACAGCTGCACCTGCATTTGCTAAAAACTAATCACGTCTCCTTATTGATTGGCACGTCTCATTAAATAATAGGAATCGAATGTTTTTTGAATCATTCAAATCGGTTGATCCGTGTTCTCGCAAATCGTCGACGAAAATTTGTATCCACATAGACATGCACATACACAGACACAAAAGAGAAAGAGCAAATGCGACTTGGCTCATTTAAAAGATAAGTATAAAATCAGTGCAAGAATTATAGCATTCTAGATCCTCTCCCCATGGAGTAATGCCTAACGGCGGTTTCCGTGGGGACCAGGGGCAAGGGCAAAGCGGAGGATTTTGAAAATTTTCAAAAAGAATAGAAGGATGGGATATAACCCGTAAAATTTGAAGAAACGACAGTTGTTGACAGGGAAACTAGGTACCATACAAATCTATGGCAAAAGTGTGAAATTCTCCAATATCTCATTTTTTTATCAATCTTAGTCAATTCGCTGGGCATGCCACATAAAAAATAAATTTAAAAATGAATAACAGATTTTGATTCGCAATTCAGAAATGACTGAATTAATTAAAAGCACGGTAATAATATATCAAAATCTTGAAACTTCAAATGTGCCAATTCAATTTAAATAGAATCAGTTTCAGATTAGGTTGGCTCTTGCAAAGACTATTGAGGGACATTTATATGTGTCATGCTTTGCAGTGGGTAAAACTATTCATATATGTTTGTTCTACCACATTTGCAATCGGTTAGAAATATTTTTTATGGCAAAACAATGTTTTTGTTCAGCTAGTATATATAATAATCATATTTAAACAATTTCTTACCATAACAGTATTGGTATCTTGTGTCTCCCTCGGTGCCACCGGTTATGTACAGTTTATTCTTGCAAAAAGTAGCCGCAGCAGCACCTTTCAAAGGCCTTGGTAATTTTCAAAATCACTCCATGAGTTCGATCTGACATCATATTTGTAACATTTGTCAGATAACTCTGTTTCTTCAACCACACCTCCTGTAAAAAAACACAGATAATAGAAAATAAAACATTGCACATGAGGAAAGTAATGATATTATGTATCCTTTATTACTTTACCTAGAGAAAAGAAACATTTCACAATCGGTATGAGCCGATGCGAATTCTTTCACCGAAGGACAAGCCGCAATGACGAGTTCAGATTCATTGTCGGGATTATAAGGGCCCCACAATGGTAAACTGAAGGACCAAGGGTCGTTCATTGAGGGAAAACATTCGCAACTGTTGGAGAAAGAGCCTCCATCACCATAAATCTAGAACAGAAATAAAAACATAAGATTTTTATAATAAACTAGCAAAACCCGACGAACTCCGTTTCGCCACCAGATGGTTCGTGAGAAAGATGAAGAAATTTTTTGTTTGTTTTATATTTGAAAAGAAAGAATTTGATTTTATTATACAACAGTAATGATTTTATTTCGATTAGAAAAATGCAGTGCTTTTTCGTTGAACTTCTCTAAGTAAATGAAAGTGAATCCCAAATTATCCGTTTCATTGAAGTGTTCTTTGGTAAACCACATTTTTTTGTTTTTTGGTCTGACGTTAACACTAACAAAACGGATGGTTTTCCAAACTCGTGAACAGACAACGTATAACTGCCCATGTGAAAAACAATGATTTTCTAAATAATCTATTTGAAATTTATCCCGCAAACACTAAGCGATTGGCCTTGCGACTTGTTATCGCGAACGCAATGCGAACTGGAAATTGCAATCGTTTGAAGTCAAACGGAAAAAGACCAGTCGGAATCATTGGTATGTCACCAAATCGGCAGCAATTTTTGATTGAATGGTGAAATTCAGTGCGTGTACATCATTATTCTTTGCGGCAAGAATTGCTATTGACTTAATTGCAAGCATAATTCTAATAATTCTCACTAATCATTACTCGAATTTTTAATTACGGTGCATGAAGTTCCAGCAATTTGCATTAAGGCACTATGCCATGCACAACTAATTTTCTTAGCTATAAACCTTGCGGAGCCCGAGACCTTTCCAACGAATGCAAAATTGTCGAAATTGGTTTGTGGGTTCTGGAGTTATTTCGTCACGAAGAAAAACCCACTTATTTTTATATATATAGAAGATTAGTGGTGTATGGCATCGTGCCTTAAGGCAAATTGCTGGAACTTCCCGTACCAATGAAAAAATTAGATTTTTTGGAAATTTTGAAATGTATGAAAAAATAGTCTTTTTTGGAAAATTGGATTTTTTTTGTTTTGATTTTTTTACAACTTTGAACACTTTTTTTAAGCAATCGTGCTGCAAAACTTTGAAAAAATTAGATTTTGAGAAATTTTGAAATGTATGAAAAAATAGTCTTTTTTGAAAAATTGATTTTTTTTTTGTTTTGATTTTTTTACAACTTTGAACACTTTTTTTAAGCAATCGTGCTGCAAAACTTCGAAAAAAATTAGATTTTTGAGAAATTTTGAAATTTTTGAAAAAAATTGACTGTTTTTGAAAAATTTGATTCTTTTTGTTTTGTTTTTTTGTATTCTGTTTTTTTTTTTTTAGATTTTTAACATTTTTTTTAAGAAATCGTGCTGCAAAACTTTTTGAAAAAACTTAGATTTTTGAGAAATTTTGAAAT